TTTTATCTTAATATAACATCTATTATAATTAAATAATTTAATATTAATATTTTGTTAATATGTTTTAGTTTTTTTTGTTAATTTTTTGAATTTATAATATAAATTAGTTTTTCAGTTGTATTATTTATTATTTTTCTTTTTTATTTTAATGTTTTTATAATATTATTATAATTTTTAATTTTTAATTTTTTAATTCTGTCACATATAAATAAAATTTATAATGAAAATTGACCTTTTAATTATTATTTTTTAATTAGCTTTTTTATTAATTCATCTTATATAAATTTTTAATCTAAAATTTATATTATTTTAAATTTATTTTTTAAAAATTATTTGTTCATATAATTTACAGTACCAAAACTTTTTAATTTTTATGGGTACCATAGCAATTCCCTAAAGATAAAGCTTAGGTATTTTGGTACTGTATTTTAATAAAATCAGAGTTTTATTTCAACAATTTATGCAATAAAAATTATTTTCAGTTATTGAGGTGAAAATTTATTTTTTATTAAAAAAACAACATAAAAAATATAGAGAGCATTTAAGTTTTTGTCTTACATATGCTTCACGATCTTTATAATTTTTTCACGAGTTTCTTTCATTCTTGTAACGTAGTTAGTAGATTGGAATGAGACGTTCCCAAATTAGAACAGATCATTATAAACTACTAAAATAAGGGTGATTTAGTAGCCCAGAACGGGCCGTTTCCAAACTGGAACGGACCGTTCCAAACTACTAAATAAGCCTATAAATCATGGTTGGGAACGGGCCGTTATGGTTTGAGAACGGGTCATTCCAAACATGGTCATTATGGATTAAAATGTAACCCCAGAAAGGGTCGTTCTGGTTTGAGAACGGGTCATTATTGATGTGAATTTTATACATGACGTATTAGTCCAGAACGGGCCGTTTCGGATTCGAAACGGGCCGTTCTGACCACTCCTGACTTCTATAAATAGGTTACATGTGTCCAATTGAGGAGAAGAGAAAAAAGGAACTTAGATAGAGGTTTTAGAGAGAAGTTTTAGAAAGAAGGACTCTGGGTCTGTGAGCTCCTTTCTTTCCTGAATTTCTCTGTATGATTCTTCTTCTCTTCAAGATCGCTAATCTCTTCTGTCTTCTCTATTAGGAAGCTTACTTTTGGAGGATTGAAGTTTGGCGGATCAGCTCTACAGCAGATTTTCGGTAAGAACAATTATATTATAATTTTTCATACTTTTTTGATTATTATTATTATTATAAAAATATCAAATCTAATGTATTTTTTTTATTGTTATTTATTTGACGATTTGAAACAAAGGAACAAAACTCTTTGCCAGTGATTTAGACATAAAAAAAAAATATAATCTTTATAATTGTATCATCATTTGAAATGATATAAAATATAAAATAAAATTATTTTAATAAATAAGATTTAGATTATTATTGATAAAAGAAATTTACTAAATCTTTATACACTGTACGGATAAATCGACTAATTTTCTTAAAATTCATTTGATCAATTATGATTATCACATAATCAATTATATGAAATTATTTAATAAAAAAATGCTCAAATCAGCAATTTAGTTGTAACTTGTAAAGGACAATTTTATAAATTAATTTATAATATTATTTTAATTTTTATTTGATCCAATATTAATTAATAAAAAAATAATCTTTCTTACAATTCTCTTTTACTTCCCCAAATAACTTTAATTTTCACTTCTTTTCTTACCTAGTTCTATTCTCTTTTTTTCTCACCTATTATCTCCATTTTCATTCTCACTAGCAAACATAATTAGGGATGGCAAAAATACCCGCCCCCGCGGGTATCTGCGGGTAAAACTCGTTACGGATAATAAATAGATAGACTAATTGGGTACCCGCAGATAATGGGGACGGATAATTTTTTACCCGTTTATAAACGGGGCGGGAGTGGGTATGATGATATCCATACCCGCAGGTACCCGTTTAATAATATTTCTTAAATATTCTAATTATCCTTGTACCACATAACCCTAAAACTATATTCTCTCATCTTATTTTCTTTCAAAAGTGATGTTGATGAAGTTACCAACATGTGTTAAGCATGTTATAGAATTATATTGGATGTAATTTGATTGATTTTCTAGCTTTGATTGGACCAATAAAATTTATGTATTGTAAGTTATTTACTTTCATTTGAAATTATGAGATTGAATTATTGTAGCTTTGTGATTAGACTTTAACTTACTTGTGAGATTAATGTATATTAAGTTATTAATTATCCTGCATTTTTATTATTATTTCAACAAAATTAACGTTAAATACAAATTCTAAATTAACAATGAATTTTTATTTTTTAATATTTTAATGACATTAAATATAAACTTAAAATTATTTATAATATAATTTTTTTAATTTATTAAAAGATTTATAAATATCCATGGATATCCGTAGATATTTAAGAAATTCATGGATACCCGCTTAATGGATACTCGCACAAATATAAGATAGGTATAAGGCTAATTTTCATCTCGCAGGACAGGGACGGTTTACTATTACCCGCCCCACGAAGCCCCATTGCCATCCCTAAACATAATGTTAAACAATACTTATATTCGATCACTAGAGTCGGCTGATGGTAGATAGTTAAGGGAGTATAAATTAAGTCCTAGACTCAAACCTTGTCGTGTAGCTTTTGTTATTTTGAATGGCAGACACACACAAGTTGAAAATCTTAAAACACTAAAGCAAATCGTTAATAATATTTTCTTTATAGTGTGTTTGGATGAAGAATTTTACAAATTAAAGAAATTTTAAATTCTTGGTATTTGAATTACTTTGATTTCAATTTCTATCATTTTTAAAATATTTTGTTTGGATGAGTCAATTCAAATTTCTTAAATTTTAAATTGTTAGGTTGAATATGATAATTTGATTCCATCATAGTAAAATTGATTTTAAAAATATATTTATATGTTGAGATTTTTAAATTAAATTTTATAAAAATAAATATTAATTCATTTTTAAATATTTAATAATTTTAAAAATTAATATAAGATAATATTTAATAATTTTAAAAATATTTTTGAATATCCAATAATTAAAAGGATGAAAAGATAAGATAAAATATATAGGTGAAATAAGAAAAACAAATATGAAGAATTTCAAATTCTCCCATTTTTGTGAGAATTTCAAATTCTACTATTTTGAAGAATTTCACAAATGCTTAAATTTTAAATTCTTTGTAAATTCCTCATCCAAATAAAATATTTCACCTCAAGAAATTTGAAATTATTCAAATAAATGAATTATCCTATATAAATTCCTCGTCCAAACACACCATTAGACATATGATCATATTGACCTTAAAAACTTATCTGGAATATACGTTCAAACTTCAAGATAGAACAACATCACAATAAAGATGAGGAACAAAACTAGCAAGATCATAAAATAAGTAGAGAACCTAAAGAAAGTGTGGAGATTTCAAGTGAGTGAAACTCATAACCAGTGCAAAAAATAAGGGATATATTTATTAAAAAAAATGACGGTCACAAAATAAAATATTTTATCTTATAGATCTAGTCAAGGATGGCAAAAATGGATAAAAAAAATTTAGACTGAATCTTGTCTTGTGTATGTAGCCGCGTTAAATTTTGAGACCAGCTATCTTATTCTTTAAGGTACCTCTAACATAGTGAGAAAATTAGTCACTGCTATTGGCGGTAGATACTTCAAAAAAAAAAAAAAAAAAAAAAAAAAAAAAACCAAACATAAAGAAGTTATATTTCGAATCTCATTAACTGGAATACTCGAGATTTATTAGATTCTAATACGAAGCTATTGAAATACACTCTGCAGCAATTTTCACATTAAAAAAAATACCTACATTCTCAAATGATGTTAGAAAATGCGATTGAGACATGTTTGAATAAATTTATTTATAAAATTTATGAATGATGAAAAAAATAGAATTAACTTTTTTTATAAGTAAAAGTTAGCTTGAAGTTGTTATATTAATTTCTTAAAAAGTTGTTTAACTTATACACGAGTTACTATTAATTTATAAAAAGAAATTCTATTAAGCATTTTATAATTTTTTTCAACATGGCGTATCTAGCTCAACATTACAAAGTGGAACTTTGCATATATAGGGAGGTAATGATTAAGTGTTAAAGGTGATGCAAAATGGGTTAAAGGTGATTAAAAGGGTCCAAATTTCCATGGGTTCATGCAAAATGGTTAAAGGTGATGCAAAAGGGTCCAAATTTCCATCGGTTTCATTATAAGTTATCGATGCTGTTTCAGAGGGTCTGTAAAGAAGGACAGGTGTTACCTATTTCAAACCTCAATTTCATGCAAAGCCGCCACGACATGCAATGCAGCCTCACCTCTTGCCGCGTACCCTTCCACCACCTCCTCCCACACTGCTATATACCACATTCCCTTCTCTATTTACACATTATTATTCCATCTCACCTTGGTTCAGCCTTGAAAAAACAAGAGAACAACACCAACCATGGTTGATCAACCAAGAACTGGAGCCTCTTACTATGGTTCGCCCTATGGAACATCCTACCAGACCAACAACAACAACAACCCACCTTCACGCCAAACCGTTAAGTTCATAACAGCCGCCACTATTGGCATCTCACTCTTGCTTTTGTCAGGGTTGGTCCTCACAGGAACTGTCATAGGGTTGGTCATAGCAACCCCTCTTCTTGTTATCTTCAGCCCCATCCTTGTCCCTGCTGCTTTTGTGCTGTTTCTAGTTGCTGCTGGCTTCTTATTCTCTGGTGGCTGTGGTGTGGCTGCCATTGCTGCTTTGTCTTGGATTTACAACTATGTGGCTGGGAACCATCCTGCTGGTTCTGACACCTTTGACTATGCAAAAGGGTACCTTGCTGATAAGGCAAGAGATGTGAAGGAGAGGGCAAAGGATTATGGGAGTTATGCTCAGGGTAAACTTCAAGAGGCCACACAAGGATCTCATTGATCATGTATGCGTGTATGTGTGTGTATGAGGTTGAACTGAAGTTGGTGGTGGTGCCCTTGTCGACTTGCATCTTCAAGTCCTGCTGTTAATTTCCAGTATTATGTGTTTTTTGTTCTGGTTTTAGTATCCTGTTTGTTTTCATAGCTAGATCAATTATTTCTTTTCTATCAGAATGTGTGTTGCATTGTTTCCTCGTTTAATGTAGTAATTTCTTTTCCCTTTTTTGTGACCCTTTGCTGATTTGTCTGAAAGATAACAAAACACTATCGTGGCCGCGGGATAAGGAGAGGAGTGTCACTAAAGAGCCTAGTTTATTGTTATGTTCAGATGACAGAAAAAAATCAAAGATGACTATAACGCAACACACATCTCTAAAATACCAGCATAACTAAGTTACGGACTTGATCTCAAGCAAGCATGAGATCAAAACAATAAAATCCTGAACTTCTCTTGCATGTAGTAGCCACGTCTAATATGATGGAACAGGAAATAGAAAACTTGCTAAATTAGTACCCACAAGTGGCTTCCAAAATTCTATATTCAAATGCCACATGACATTAGCTGGAGAAGAAACGATGAAATATTGCTGAGTGTAACTTAATTTAATCCGATGCTGGTTTGACGTCATCATCTTTTTTTCGTAAATGACACATAAATTGGATACCATATTGTTCCTGAGCCTCTGCCAGTGTTTCCCGTTTTTTATTAACATGTTAATGGAACCAGTCATCTCCTGTGTCAAGAGATTTATTTGTCTCTTCCCGTTTGTGATTGCTTGTGTCAGTGTTTGTTTGAAAGTAATTATTAATGTTTTCACCATTTGTCCAATTTCATGTTGGATTCTGAAATACAAACTATGTTAGAAAGAGTTTGTCCATCTAGAACTATAGGGTAATAAGAAATTTATGACACAGGAATGTGACTGTACATTCTAAGCAGCCCCATATTAAAGGAACTAGTGCCTTTTTTTTAACCATGATAATTTTTTTTAATAACTATAGTATTGATATTTTAACCATGATATTTTTTTAAATAACTATAGTATTTATACGATATCTATTGGAAGGAATGTTTAATTTTTATCTAAGTAGTGAAAATTTTTTATCGAAGCACATACACTGTGATTTTTTGTCAGCATTAATTTAGAATATTTCATAACTAAGAATAGTCTTTTATCTTCTCAGAATTTCATAATTAAGAATATTTCATAACTAATTAAGAATAGTCTATTGCATATATTTAAGAATATTTCATAACTAAGAATAGTCTTTATGAGAGATTGTGAGAACACAAGGTTGTTCCTGTTAACATAATCTATAACTAAGAATTGTCTTCGAATGAGAGCGCACAAAAAGTTGTCCCCTCAACATTATTTCATACGAGTCTAGTGCCTACCTGCTCTCACATGAAATATGAATATTTTATGACGCAATTCGACTCGATTGAAGATTAATTCTTAGATATTTACTAAAAGATTTCTCTAAATAACTTTTTTCAATTCTCTTTCTTCTTTTAAAGATCTTTTTAGTAGATTAAAAAACTGTAGATTCGCAGTATGATCATCCCTATTCAATTATGATAAAAATAAAATAAAAAATAAAAAAGGTAGGTATCATCAGGGATTCTGGGAAGACAACTATAATAAAAAGGTATTATTCAAGACCATGCAAACGACTCAAAGAAAAAACGGCCAGATAAACTTTTTTGATTTTATAAATGTATCATCCCAAATTTTATATAATAATTAATTATTATTTTTATATTTATAAAAATTATTTTCCTATTTTTATTAATTAATAAAAAGGGTTCTTTTTATATATAATATTTTAGAGGTTTTCATAAATAATTATTATGTATTTTAAATATTTATGAGGATTATTAAAGGGATTTTATAATTAAAAACAATAAAATAATATTCTGGGTTCAGAACGGACCGTTCCTAAAAGTGGAACGAGCTGTTCCAAATTTTTAAAAAGACTTGTGTTTATTGGTCCGAAACGAGCCGTTCTAAAAGTGGAACAGGTCGTTCCAAATTAGTAAAGAGACCTATTTTTGAAGGCCCAGAACGGCCGTTCCAAATTTTCAAAGAGAACTATATTTGTTAGCCCAGAACGGGCCGTTCCCAAAGCGGTACGGGCCGTTCCAAGCTTAAAAAAATGCCTAAAGATCTTAATTGAAAACGGGCCGTTCCAGTTATGGTCTTTGTGAGAAAAATTTTACCCCAGAACGGGCCGTTCCAGTTTTAAATTTTACATAGGAGGAATGAGTCCAGAATAGGCCGTTCCGGTTTCAGAACGGGCCGTTCTGGCCATTCCGAATTTCTATAAATAAGAGGGAGGGGGCCTGTGAAAAATCATAACACCCAGAGGTGAAAATTTAGAAAGAGAAAGAAAAAGAGAGAGAGAGAGAGAAAGAAAGAGGGAAAGATAGAGGGAATCCAGA